GAAAATAAAAAAAGATAAAACATACATACACATATATATATATATATATATATATATATATATATATATATAAAATAAAATTATGTTTCTATGTACAAAATATAACACTAAATATGTACTGTCATCCAAATAATATCACCTTAATACCGGTCAAGCACGACTAGTCAACACTCCAACTGACTCCGACACTGTGACAAAACACCTGATCTCGTCAGCAATAGCCCCACCAACACTAACCTAACCCTGACCTGCTCCCATCGCAGTCCATCCACATGGAAACAGAAGGGTAAGCTAGAGTTCAATAAACAACCATGCAAGCATAATAATAAAATATCTATGCTACTCAACTATCAAATCATCAAATCATGAAGTCAAATACCATACACTTCATCATAACAACAATCATGCAATTAAACAACACATGAAAGATATCAATGCATATCTATCATCTAATGCGTCGTCACGCATACACCTAAGAGATTTCCCTAACAGTAGAGCAGTATAAGTGACATCCCAATCCTACCAAAATCACCCCAACTGTTTTCACGTCCAATACCCCCGCTTGGTCACAGCTAAACAGGATATAAATCATCACTCGGGTTTACTCGGATGATGTCACTTACACAATTGGAAGTCTGGTTTCACCGTCAGGTATAGCACAGCTGCGTATAGGTTTACCACGACCTTGGCATGCATAACCAAGTCAATTGTGGAGTTCGCCCACCGACTATCCGCAAAGAACCACGCACCTTCCCCAATACTTGGTTAAGGGAATAACCTTCAATCTCATACCCCGCTCCAACACTAGCTAGGGACTTAGAGGAGACTCACCCAAACCAGTAGCTTATTCAAGAACCACTCTCACCCAAAACAAGGGCCTATCTAAACACCACTCTCATTTATATTACTGGTCTATCCAAGCACCACTCTCAAGAAATTCTATGTGAGTTCTTCTAGTTCAAAAATATTTCCCTCTTCTTAAGTCCTAGGCTAGACACATGCCATAAGGCATCAACAATAATGCATCATACATCACACATGGTTAATCCACCATCATGATCAATATCATCCTCATATGAACATATACACATGTCATATCATATTTAAACATTCATACATGCCATTATCAAGCATACATATGAATCATACATCATATATCATCCATACATGATCAAATCTTCAACTTTAAACATGCATAAACATAATTTTCAATCAAAAACATCAAGTACATTCACGCCCGGCGCAGCCCACTCACGCCCGGCCTAACATCCAACCTGAGACTAGAGCTGTCAAAACGGGCCAACCCGGCCCACATGGACCGGCCCACCTTGACCCACTTTAAAAACGAGCCAACCCAACCCGGCCCACTTTTAATTTTCTCAAAAAAAAATTGGCCCAGCCCGGCCCACCACGGGTTGGTGGGTTATACGGGCCAGCCCACCAGCCCACCAAAAATTAAAAAATAAAAAATATCAACAAAATTTTAAATTTTAAATTAATTATAAATTAACATAATAGTCATAAATTAGCATAATTAATAGTCATAAATCATAATTCATCTTACAAGATTAAATGCAAATCTCATATACATTGGATGAGTATATTATTGTTTGATATGTCTTGGTGGATAACTTTCAAACATATTGATATTGTGTTGTTTGGTGAATGTTGTAAATCATGAGGTGTTTTGGTTGGTTTACATGTTGGTGAGTAGTATAGATATTCTTTCATGTACTAATATGTTTTTAAAATCTAACTTACCCTTGTGTGTTTTTCATATGGTTTGGATTGCGATGATCATGATTTTTCATGGGAGTAGGACATGATTAGTCAAAGTAGACTTCATAGAGATGTTACAAGGCCATTTTGGCAGTATATTCTTGTCTTAGACAGTTTTTGATGATATGTATAATAGTATTTGACCAGTACTTAGGATTCTATATTGCTTTATGTCGGATGATTGTACATATACTGTATATATTTATTGAGCTATTCTTAGTTGCACTTATACTTATATACAAATCATAATGTCTATATCCATGTACAATGAGTACGAAATCTTAAACATGTGAGTAGTTCCACTGCTAGTTGGTGATTATACGAATTGTAGCGACTATGGTGGGTCACTACAAGATAAACTTCCATTACATATTCAAATGCATAACATTTAATTCATACAAAGCATCCAATTCACAAACAAAAGCCTAAACCTTTAAAGAACCAAATATATGACATATGGTAAATCCATATCATAATTCATAAAATTCATTCATCACCATAGGTATACAATAGAAACAATCTCATATTTACAATCATTTCATCAAATGCAACAAATATCAAATATAAGTTCTAAGGAAGCTCAAGAATCACCTCACTACCTAAACCCTTTATACTTGCCACAAAGATGAGACAATCTCACTTCCCTTTCTTACCTTAAATGATGATCTTCAAGATAATGACCACAATCTCCCCAATCCAAAATTATTCCACACATTCCATAGGATTTTTCTCTAGGGTTTCCTCTATGACGTGTCCTCTAATGTGTCACCGATATCCATTAATTCCATATTGGATTATTATGTTCCATCTACATTGTTGTCTCCCTAGTGACGTGTCCCTTGCAAGCACTTTTAGAGCTTTAGAAGATTTGATGCGTATGACCTAAACCCTTTCTCCTCTCTTATTAATAAGGCTTTGACTTAGGCTAAAGAATCTAAACTCAATGAGTTCCTTCAAACTCATAGTCTATTTTTATTTTATTTAATAAAAACATCCACCACTTATACTATAAGCTTTATTAATAAATTAATTTAGCCTATAATATAATATATTATTAAAATAATTTATTTATTTTTAAAAAATAGGATATTACATCTTATATTTTTTACTAGATTACTTCGATATGCAATGTGTTTTTTTTAATAATATAAAAAACATAAAACTCATAACGTGACTCAAATGATTTCTTACCCTAGACATTAAGATAGATTAATTGCTTATTATAATAAAAGATTATTAATGTGAAAAAGAAGAGTATGAAACCCTTATTATAAATTTCATTACAATCATCTTTATAATTTTTTCTTTCTTTATTTAAAGAGAATAAAATTTTTAACTTCGAGGAAATGCTTGAAAAATATAAACATTTATACTATTTGTGGTTTTGATTTATTAGAATCTATAACAATCTTTAGATCGAGGCTTTGTTATTTTTGCGACATGAAAATAAGTTTACAACTCTAAATATCAAAATGATTAAAAAATAATTTGGACAAGTGTATTTAATGTTTTTTATTTTTATTTTTATGAATGAATCTCATATATAAATGTGACATTCAAACAAATAGATAATGACACATCTCTTATATATTTTCTATTATATTAAATAAAAAAATATATGTAATCCAGTAAAAACATATAAGAAATGTGTCGTTAAGAATATATTTAAAAGTCAAATTTTAAAATTGAAAAACATTTATTTTAATAAATATGTAAGTTATTATAAACATATAAAACTGGCGTCATTAAGAGCACGTTAAAAAGTCAAATTTTAAAATAAAAAAGATACATTTGTTTTAATAAATATGTAATCTAGTCAAAAACATAAAAGAGATGTGTCATTAAGAGTATGTTTAAAAGTCAAATTTTAAAACTAAGAAAAGAATTTATTTTAATAAATATATATTCTAGTTTATTTTTTAAGAACAAAATTAAATTATATAAATGAATAATTAATATTATCTATTTATATATTTTTAAATAAAAAATTATATATCGATATAAATTCAATATCTCAATTAGTCAATCTTTTATTTATTATTTTCTATAAATATTAGATATTTTCTTAATTTAAAAATAAAATCATTACTCACATCTTAATTCCTAAAATTTCATATCTTATACATTTTTTTTACTAGATTCCATTTAAAATAGTTCAATATAGTTTAGCAAAAAATATATGAGATTATATATTTTTTTATTAATAAGAAAATATAACTCATTCTCATTGAATTAATTCTTATAATAACAAAGTGATAGCTTTGATCACAAATTTATGCTTTAATTAGAGACTTAATCTTGATATTTGATTGAGGAGAACATAAATATCGAATATCTTGAACTAAATGCTTTTCATATATAAGAGATAATCATTAAAAATATATTTTAAAGTCAAATTTTAAAACAGAAAAACATTTATTATAATAAATATATTATAAATTATTTTTTTTAAAAATAAAAATATATATTATATCAATATAGATTCATTATTATCCAATTTAATATTTTTAAAATAAAGAAATAAAAGTATATACATCAACATAAATTCAATGTACATAAGTCATATAAGTAAACCAATATTTTCTTTAATAAAAAATAATAAAAAAATGTGAATGATGATTGAATTGATGATAAAATAGAATTCTAAGTCTCTAATAATGATTGAATTGATTATAAAGAAATAAAATTATTGATTTAATTTCCTAAGTTAACGAAAAAAAATTGATTAAATTCTGTCGAGTTACTCATTGTAATTATTTATGAAAGAATAATTCTAATTGTCAATTGAGAGCAATATATTTTGAATCAATCCTATATTTATTAATTCCTACAAATGGTATATGTAAAAAAATCCTATAAATAGTAGATATTTTTCTTAATTAAAAAAAAGTCACTTACTTTTTAATTCTTAAAAATTCCATATTATTCAAATATAGAACTTTTATAAATTAACTCTATATTAAAAATAAAAAACGCAGATCTTAAACATACTGTTACATTCCTTAAAAAAATTATATATAGTGGTAAAAATCACATTTTTTTTTATTCCTCGGAAAAATAAACAAACAAGAAACTAAGCCACCTCGTAAAAATCACATGAGATTACCCATATAAAATGTCCTGAGTTATCAATCATAAATATTTAATACTCCTTCACACCAAATATTATATAATGTGCTGAGATATCATAATATTCTTTGTACAAAAGAAAAGTAAAGAAAAAACATTATTATTGTGAAGAGAGGTAGTGTGTGACCCTGAACATAAGAGAGAAGGTGTAAAGGCATGAGAATTTCGTAACCAAGCCATAGGAGAAGAAGAGAGGGAACGAAACAAAACCACTCTCACCCAAATCGTTTCTTCTTTCCTCTCCAACGATCTTCAATTCCGTTACCGTAAGTCCCACTTTTCCTTCTTCACTGCACAAAAAAATGGTGTTATTTCGTGCTTCTTTTACCCCTTTTGCTTTATCCCCTTTTATTCTCACTTTTTAATCCAAAATCGTTGACTTTAACTGGTTTTGGGGTTGCCCTTGTTTTTCATTTTTCTTCATTCTTATTTTTCTTTTGTTATTGTTGATATTGATATTTAGGGTTTCGTCCCCCTTTGTCAGAATCTCGCCTTTGGTGATCGCCATAGAGTGCCAGAGCTTTTCCTGAGGTTCTTGTTTTGGAAGATTCGGCGTGTTCGTGTTTTTGAGTTCTTCAGCGATTGGTAATTTAGAATTCTGCTATTGCTGCTTACTTCAATTTTGAGAAATTTGATTTTTCATGTCAAAAGTTATTAAGTTGTGTGGCCTGTGATGGATTATAGATTAGTAGGGGAATTGAATTGGTTCTGTTTACATTTGTTTCCTGGCCTGTGGTATTGATAATTTTCCAGTCTTACTGGATTTTGTTTCCTTGTTTATTTTCATTTAGTGTTATTAGTTTGTAGGTAGATTCCATATCCATGGGATGTGCCTAATGACATAAATGCATAATGCAAATTTGTCTTAAATCAAATTGCCGAGGGGGCTGAAACCTCTTGTTGACGGTTTTATCTGTTTAATAGGTTACGTTGATAGTAAGGAATGATGGGGATCAACAGGAGAGACTGCTGATTCACAGTCTTACTGGTCAAATCAGTTGGTCTAGTTAGGGTTTTAAAATGTTGATGTAATGAAATGGAATGCCTTGCATTTGTTATCTGAAAACTGTAAATGTAACTGGCATACTTGTTATGCAATGCTTGAGTGCTGCTTTGTTTCTTTTTCCAAAACTTTTAGGTCATACTCTTTTGAACACTTCAGCTGCTCAATATTTATTAATTGTTGGCCAATGAGTAGGTGTATTTTTAGGGTCAAGGGTATTGTAGCATTGCTCACATAATATTTCCCCTGTATTTTCTATATTTGAATATGATTGAATCTGATTTGCTATTCAAGTTGTTAATTTAAAGGTCTAATGGGTTGAACTGGATGCCCTGGTTAGGGCTTTTAGAACATTGATTGATATAATTGAGTAAAATGAAAACTTCCATTTCTGTACCAAACTACCGAAATACAAAAAGTTAATTAATTTCCTACCATACAGTTTGTAGTTGTCGGTAGCCCTACTATAGCAGCACGATAGTTGTGGTATATTGTGGAGTGGCTGTGGACTGCTACAGGCACAATTGTATCGTGTTTTTTGCTTGCGGCCATCGCTCCCACAATAGCTTCCAAAATTTTGGCCTTTTGCATGCAAAAGCACTGCAACTCTGATAAGGGTTCGTAAAACCCAAATTATTCCCCTTGTAAGAGTATTGATTAGGCTGTTTTGGGGTGGGGAATCTCGCAATGTTGCCCCTATTAGTGCTGGGCGAATCTTTATTGTGTAGCACTTACATGTATAGTGTAGACTGTAGTATAATTAATTAATGTGTATGTTAGTATTTTAACAGTGTCCAGTCTGCCATCCGCTATAGTGGATTTGGGTTCAGCTGCTCTGTGCTGCTATTTTGGGCTTGTCAATTTAGATTCAATTCCAAATACAACAAAATTTGGTTCTGCATAGCATAATTACTTTTACTAGTGTTATTTGTTAAGATAATAATGGTCTTGTTGCAGCTAGATGCTTGATTGCTGCTTTTTGATCATTTTTAAAAACTTGTTTAGGTTCCATTCTTTTAAGCTGTGTAGCCCTTGTGTAATTTGTAAATGCTGATCATTGGTGATGCATCTGTAAACTTAAGCATACTGTAGCATTGCCCAGAATAATATTGCTTGTGTATTTTCTGTATTTGAACTAGATTGAATTCAATTTGCGACGTGCGTTGTTAATATATTAACTGAAACATGTTTTTGTCTTTACAGGTTTCAGTGGCCATGGACAAATTGCTTTTTCAAAGCTGTATGGTAACTCAAATATGTAGAAATGTTTAAAGAAGCAGAATATTTTAAGATTGAGATGTTGATATAGTTATATCACAACCACCTATTGAGAAAGTAAACAAGAACATTGAGAAAGCTGGTGACTGAAATGGAGTGCAATAAGGATGAGGCCACCAGAGCTAGAGAAATTGCTGAGAGGAAGTTTGCTGCAAAGGATACATTGGGTGCAAAGAAATTTGCTTTGAAGGCCCTAAATTTATTTCCTGCTCTTGAGGGTATTTCTCAAATGATAGCAACACTTGATGTTTATCTTTCTGCTGAGAATAAAACAAATGGAGAAGCAGATTGGTATGGAGTACTTGGTGTGGACCCCCTTGCTGATGATGATACAGTCAGGAAACAATACAGGAAGCTAGCTCTCATGCTTCACCCTGATAAGAACAAGTCCGTTGGAGCTGATGGGGCCTTCAAACTCATCTCAGAGGCATGGAGTTTACTATCAGACAAAACTAAAAGGGCAGCATATGACCACAGAAGTGGAAAAGCACCAAAAGTTTCTACTAAGTTTGGAGGTTCGTCAACACAAACCAGGCCTAATGGGAGTTACAATTTTGCCAAGAAGACTTCCCCTTCAAATGCATCTTCTTCGAAGAATATTGATAAAGAGCATGCATCATCTTCTACCCATAAGTCAAAAGCAAATACATTTTGGACTGTTTGCCATCGATGCAAAATGCAGTATGAGTATCTTAGTGTTTATGTTAACCTTAAACTCTTATGTCCCAACTGTCATGAGGCATTTGTTGCTAAAGAAACTGCTCCTCCACCTGCAAGTGGTATTAGGCCTGCGGCTCAATGGAATTTTTCACAGAATAATCAAAATTTCAACCGCCATTTACCTGGTAAAAGCAAATCTAATGCTTCTGGAAAGAATAAGATGGCAGTCCCAAATGCTGGAGCAGGGTCTTACAGTAAGACTAACTCCAATAAAAAAGCCAGTTTCCAGTGGGCTCCATTCTCAAAAACATCTGGTGTTTCTAATGTGGCTCAAGCTGCAAGTGTGGTTCAGCAGGCATATGATAAGGTGAAACGTGATCGTGAGGAAGCACAAGCAGCCAGCAAAAGAGAAGAGGCATTAAAAAGGAAGCAGCATGCTTCTAAAAGGAGTTACTATAATCCTGCTAAGAGAAGAAGAGGGGGCGTGGAGGAAGCAAGTGTGAGTAACCATGGTGAGGGAACAAACTCTTCTAAAAAGGGTTGTTTTGAATATAAGGTTAATGGAATCAAAAAGACCGGCAGAGTGGGAGATATCTCCCCAGTTGAACTTCGGAATCTTCTTGTGGAGAAAGCTAGAAAAGAAATTAGCAATAAACTCAAGGAAATTCAGTCAAATATTGTTGATAAAACAGTGGTGAAAGAGAGTGGAAATGACTTCCAAAAAGTGATCGAGAAAGGAGAAAATTGTTTAAGAAACTCTGAGATGTGTGCTGGAGATAATGCTGAGAAGTCAGAAGACAGAAAGAGTGGATCCCGAATGATCAAGTCATTTGCGAGTTCTAGGAAATTTTTGGAAACAACACCTGTTGATGTGCCAGATCCTGATTTCCATGATTTTTTCAAGGATCGAACTGAAAGATCTTTTGATAAAAATCAAGTATGGGCGGTGTATGATAATGATGATGGGATGCCTCGATGTTATGCAATGATTCACAACATCATCTCCCTGAATCCATTCATGATGCAGATCAGTTGGCTCAATCCGAATACCAACAGTGAACTGGGCCCCCTAAATTGGGTTGCTTCGGGCTTTTCAAAAACTTGTGGGGATTTCAGAATGAGCAGACACGAACTCTGTAGCTCAACTAATTTTTTCTCTCACAAGGTTAGGTGGAGACCAGGTACTGATGGAGCCATTTCTATATATCCCAGGAAAGGGGATGTTTGGGCCATCTATAGGAATTGGTCTCCTGACTGGAATGAACTAACAGAAGATGAGATTATACGTAAGTTTGATGTGGTTGAAGTACTAGAGGATTTTTTTGAAGGACATGGTATAGATGTTATTCCTCTGGTCAAAGTGGCTGGATACAAAACAGTATTTCATCACCACTTAGATCCAAGTGAAATCAGAATCATTCCGAGGGAAGAGATGTTTCGATTTTCTCATCAAATACCTTCACACCTACTCACTGGTCAAGAAGCTCCAGATGCTCCAAAGGGTTGCAGGGTGCTGGATCCAGCTGCTACTCCACTTGAACTTCTTCAGGTAATAGAAGTTGTGAAGGAGGAAGACATGGCAAACAACGAAGATAGTGATGTAAAAGAAACAAATGGTAGCTTGAAAAAAGACAACAATGTGGAAGTGGTCAATGATATGGGAAAACTTGAGAAAGAAAAAGGGGGAAAAGGCAAAGAGGTGCAGGAAGTAGAAACTTTGATAGAGGTCAAAGAGAAAGAAGATATGCAGTAGCTTGTAACAGCAAGGGTATGTAGCATGCTAAAGGAGATCTCTGGCTCCTGCAAGGAATTAAGAGAATACTAGAAAATCAGAATTCTTTTGACAAAAGAGAATCCAAAATGAGTTGACATTGCAAATAACTATTGGATGGATGAGAGATTCCAATCACTTTCTCTTATCCAATCATCATTGAACATAGGTGAATTTTGTCAATTTTTTTTTAGCAATGTTATATTTACTGTCACAATTTGTGGAGGATTTCACTTTTGTTCCGATATTGCAGTAGCTGTCTTCAACTGTTGAGGTTGAATGTATCAGTTTCATGCCCTTTTTTATTTGCTTTTTTTAGGATATTACTCAATTTTGTTTTGTATATCAGATCTAGTAGCATGATCTTCAGTCGTGTCCATATATGTAAGATATTTAACTCCTTTAAAGATTAATACAGTCCCTTACAAATTGATTTCGTTTCTCAAATGATTTTTTTTTTCCCTAATCAGAATCAATAAATATATTGGATTATTCTGATTTCGACCATTTACTTTTCAAGTTAAAATATTTAATACATGATACGTCATTAAAATTAAAATAAAAATTATATAGAGGAGGGTTCAAAAGACACTGGTGTAATTTTTATTAAGTGTTACACCGTTCAATAACTTTATATTAATTTTGAATTCTAAAAATCTAACCGTTAAATCGAAAGCTCATATCTCTTAGATCATATATACAAAATTTTATATTAATCCAAGATGATTTGATACTTCATTCTTATAAAACAAAATTGACGTAATATATTCATTTTAAAATACACTAAAATATGAACACTTTGATTACCTTCAAGATGTTGTTCAAATTTAACAAAATTTGATATATATGATCTAAGAGATATAAATTTTCAATCTAACGGTTGAATTTTCAAAATTCAAAATTAATATAAAGTTATTGAGTGGTGTAACATTTAGTAAAAGTTACACCGGTGTCATTTGAACCCTCCTTCTTTATTAAGCTATGTTCTAGCATATTCTTTGCTGATCTAAATGTTTACATACACACTTTATTTAAATATCTTATTCAAAATTTGTAATGGAGCTTTATTTGTTTTTTACATAAACCCTTATAGAGCTTAAACATTTATGTAAATTTATTTAGAATAATTTTGTAGAATTTCAATATGGATAATTTCAATTTGTTTTTTACATAAACCCTTATGTCTCGAATCATGTTCGTTGCATTTGAAATCACGATAATTATGTTTACTTAATGTTTGATTATTAGTAAAATTAATTTTAAGTTTATGTCTTTTGTTATTAAAACAAAAGTTACATTATTTTTGAGTCACGTTTACTTTAATATTGAGAGTTGACAATGATATACATATGAAAATGGTATACAAACACATACATGCATTTACTTAAACTTTATTTAGTCAATAACTCATATTCTATATTAAATATCAATAATTTAATGATTAAATAAAAAGTTTTTAGTATATAAATTAAATTTACAAATTTTAAAAAAATTCAAAAATTATTTGATACTTTATTTTATTAATTTAAATTAATGTATAAAATATTTTAAAAATTATCCAATAATTTAAATTAATGAAAAGAAATATTAAATTATTTTCAATTTGTTTTTAAAAATTTTACATATTTGATCTATATACTAAAAAATTTAATTTAACAATTGAATAAAATCTTTGCAAATTTAATTCATATATTAAAATTTTTTAATTTAACGATTGAATGATCAAAACATGAATTATTAAATGAAATAAGTTTAAGTAAACTTAGTTTTAAAGTAAATGAATATTAAGTCTAGGCATAAGAAAGTTAAGTTAAACGCTAAATGAATAATTTGTTACATAATGTTCTATATCACATGTGAATTATTAAGTCTAAGCATAAGAAAGTTAAGTGTGACTAGGAGTGACAAATGAATCTATTTATCCATCTTTCATTTGATTTATCTACAAGTAAATATATCCAATTCATCAATTATAATAAAAATAAATAATAAATTGAATCGAATCTAGTTCATTAATTTAATTTTATGGATGATTAATAATCTATTTGCTACTTTTTCATAATCCATTAAATGGTATATGAGATATTTATTAGATTGAGAATTAAAGGACTATTTTGACATAAACAAAAAGTTTTGTGAGTTTTAGAAGATTATATAAAAATATAATGACTTATAAAAAAAAAGAAAAAAATAAAATATTTTAAAAAAATTATTAAATTTTTAAAACATTTTTATCGATAGATTGAATATCTATCTATGAAAGAAAAAATTGTTAATGGATAGATTAAGTTAATTTTTATTTTATTTTAGATGGATTGGATGTATAAATTTTTATATAAACTTTAATGAATTTAAATTAATTAATGAGTTATTTTTATCCGATCCATTATAATCTTCGTAAAAAAATTATTCGATCTATTCATTTATCACTTTTAAGTATAACAAATTCGATCTAAATATAATAAAATTAACTTAAAGATAATAGATTTAATTTTAATGTGATTAAATTGGTCTAAATATAATCTGGTCAATCTTCTTATTATTGGTGCAAAAATAATCATAAGGGAAAATCTTAAAATTATTAATTATTATGAGTTAAATTAAAGATTTTTCTAATAATTGTTTCTCAATTTAGTGTTATGCTTAGCTATAATATTGAGTTTTGAGCAAGTTAAAGACTTTCTCCTATAACAATTTTAGAATATTTAAAGTTAACCACTATTAAAATTTGTTTAGAACGTGTGAGAAAAATTGATATAAAAACAAAATTTTAAAGGAATTTATATAATAGTTGAAGTTGAAGAGCAGATGTTGTAGTTTGATAGAAGCAAATGAGGGTTGAGCTGAACCAACATGTGTTAGAAACACTGAGCAAGAGCAACAACCTTGAGCACCTGAAACAACTCCAAGGCTACCTCACCACACTGGGCCACGCCCACACCGACTTCTACGCCTTCAAGCTCATTCGCTTCTGCGCCCTCACTCTCTCCAACCTCTCCCACGCGCGCCTCATCTTCGACCACCTCCCCTCCCCCAACACCCACCTCTTCACCGCCCTCATCACCGCCTACGCCGCCCGCCCCGCCACCCACTCCTCCGCCTTCGCCCTCTTCCGCCGCATGCTCCGCGGAGCGCCCCCCCGCCCCAACCACTTCATCTTCCCCCACGCGCTCAAAGCCTCCCCCCACCCACGCGCCACCGCTTCCGTCCATGCCCACATCGTCCAAACGGGGTTTCTAAGATACCCAGTTGTGCAAACCGCCCTCGTGGACTCCTACTCTAAGCTTTCCGTCGGGTTGGGGGACGCGCGCAAGGTGTTCGACGAAATGTCTGAGAGAAATGTCGTGTCTTTTACTGCTATGGTTTCTGGGTATGCGAGGGTTGGGGACGTCGAGAGTGCGGTGAGGGTGTTTGGTGAAATGCCCGAGAGGGACGTTCCGTCTTGGAATGCCCTCATTGCTGGGTGCACTCAGAATGGGGCTTTCACTCAGGGGATTGAGTTGTTTAGGAAAATGGTTTGGGAGGGTAATAATAGGCCGAATGGGGTTACTGTGGTTTGTGCTCTTTCGGCTTGCGGCCACACGGGGATGCTCCAGCTTGGGAGATGGATACATGGTTATGTGTACAAGAGTTTGTTTGTGTTTGATTCGTTTGTGTCGAATGCCCTTGTGGATATGTATGGGAAATGTGGAAATCTTAAGCAGGCAAGGAAGGTTTTTGAGATGAATCCGGAGAAGGGGTTGACTTCGTGGAACTCCATGATCAACTGTTTCGCGCTGCATGGGAAGAGTGACAGTGCAATTGCCGTTTTTGAGCGAATGGTGGAGTGTGGCAATGGTGTGAGACCGGATGAGGTTACCTTCATTGGTGTGTTGAACGCTTGTACTCATGGTGGATTGGTTGAGCATGGTTATTGGTATTTTGAGATGATGGTTCGGGAGTATGGGATTGAGCCGCAGATTGAGCATTACGGGTGTTTGATAGACCTTCTTGGTCGAGCAGGGAGGTTTGATGAGGCGATGGAAGTTGTCGAGGGTATGAGCATGGAACCGGATGAGGTTGTTTGGGGTTCTTTGCTTAATGGATGTAAGGTTCATGGCCGAACGGACTTGGCAGAATTTGCAGCTAAAAAATTGATTGAAATAGATCCATATAATGGAGGTTATGGGATAATGTTGGCTAATGTATATGGGGAGTTGGGGAAGTGGGATGAAGTGAGGAATGTGTGGAGGGCATTGAAGCAGCAAAAGTCATATAAAGTTCCAGGGTGCAGCTGGATTGAGATTGATGACCAGGTTCATCAGTTCTATTCTCTTGATAAATCGAATCCAAAGACATATGAGATGTACAGTATCTTGGAAAGTCTCATAGGTTTTCGAAATGAAATCATGGTTGAACTGTAGTCCTTGATCTCAAAACTTTGTAAATCACCGTACCACATTTGGATGATTAAACACAGAGGAAGATGCGGTGTTCTTCAATAAATAGAAACCCTAAACTTTTTAAAACACCAGTGCTGAGCTTGTATCTGGTTCCTTGCATGTACAGTACAGTCTTACGGCAAAGGATTTTTGTGGGGATACATATTTAATGTAATTATTCTTCTCTTTTGCTGCTGTGAACTGTGAAGATTCATCGAAAGAACAGAGAAGTAGAAGGAATGAATCAGATTCTGCTTCGGGTGGTTTTGTGCTCACTGTGGTTGTTGATGCAGAGCAAGATAATTTTGGCTACGAGCATTTAGTTGAAAACATAATTTGGGTAGAGAAACTCTCGTGAAACTCCATTTTGGTTCGACTGTTTGACCACTGATTTAATTTATTCTTTTAGTCTTCGAGGATAAAGAAATAATAGAGAATTCTAACTGTTTCAAAATTTTGTAGCTTAGTCAATTGCTGGATCATATCAACATGCTTTCTGAATTTAGTCCAGTAGCATTGTTTTGTGTTAGTTTGCTACTGGACTGTTTTAAGCAAGGTAAACTGCAAATGGATGACTTGCCCACAATCCGTGTTTTCCTATTATCTGGCCGATGTGGTTCAAGCCTGTGAAATCCCGTGACCGGAGGGAAATTCATACTCTTGTTTTTATTTCTTTGAACTAGTATTGACTCATGCTGGCATAACAAAAACTTCACCGACATTATACTACCAAAGGTTTCAACGTTCTAATGTCTAAATATCTTTGTTGCTGAATGCTATATATTATGTATTTTGAGAGCTTTAATAGATGGAAAACAGAAATCCACCCTTCGATTGAATCCCATATTACTGTGGTATGCATTTTTTTTATTTAAAATGTTACATAACATTATTAATTATACTATTATACCATATAACATTCTTATATAAGATTTTGGCACTACATAATTATACTATTCTCATGTTGTTAACATTATTAATCTAAAGGCCAAATTTGGAGCAAGACTGCAAAATAATATTATCAAACAAGATTAACTCAAGGATAACTCATTACATGAACACAACCGAAGATCTTAGTAGAACCCATTTATTCATAAAAACCCAACTACAAACCCATTTTTACTGATCATTTACTGGCACACGAGAAGTCTGTAGGAGTATAATCATCATTTATCTATTATTCAAAGCTCTTGCTTGCCCTTATTACCCTTGAGCTTGGCAGTCTGCTCATCATCCCCTACAATGCTCACCACCCTTGGACCTTTGATCTCATTAGGTGACAACTTGTTCATTGTGAGAGTAAGCACTCCATTCTCCAGCTTAGCCTCGACAGAATCCAAGTCCACATTATCTGGCACCTTGAACTGCCTCCAGAATTTGCCACAGGATCTCTCCACTCTATGCCAGTGATCCCCTTCCTTCTCCTCCTCCTTCTTCCTTTCTCCGCTCACTCTCAGCACCCTATTCCCCTCCACTTCTATCTTGATCTCATCTTTCTTCATTCCTGGCACGTCCAGCATTATAACATGTCCCTCTGGTGTCTCCTTCCAATCTACTCTTGCAGGTGACACAGCCATGAATGACTCGTCTTTGACAACCCCAAATGGGACTTGCTCTAACACCCGAAATGGATCAGGGAAACGATCAGACCACAGATCAGCCAAGAGAGTACTAGGTCGATCTGTAAAAGGTAGCAGAGACCCTTTTGCTTTGAATGGAAAACCAGCAAGAACAAGCAAGATCAGTGGTATTATTAGTAATAAGTGCCTCATTTGTATTTTTGAATGTGTATGTGCCTTCTGTTTGGGTACTCAGAAAATCGAAAGCAGTGGATAATGTGTTGGACTTTGGCTATATCTAAAGTTTGTCTTGAAACTGATTGAACATGTAAGGTACAAGGTAGTCACATATATAGAGGGGGAGATAATGTGGCAAAGGACTATCGTGGTTCTTGAAAATTCCATGCACCGAATAAGAACGTTTTAGTGAAGTGTAGAGAGATGAAGAAAGTTCCAGCATAGTATTATGAATTTTTGTTTGGAGGAAAAGTCGGTTCTCGAAGTGAAAGAGGGCACAAGAATGTTCCATCATGTTCCGGATGCTTCTTGAGTAACAATCCTCTGTCAAACTGCCACCAAATGATCATTTGGTCGGACTAGGACAATTTCTAAATTTAGTATTGAAATAAAAGAAATTTTAGTACATAAGTTGTTTTATATAGAAATTCTTATATTTTTATCAACAAATAAATAAAAAATTCAATATTTAGTTTTACTAAAAAGAGAGAGACTATTTTGAATTTTAATTTTAATTTTGAAAAGGAGCTTAAAAGAAAAAAAAAATTAAACGAAACTTTTATTTTAAATTTAAGCAACATTTACTTAAAAGTTTCTACATTTTATGTATATATAATATACTATCTAAAACTTTTTTACAATAAACAAGTTAAAGTAAAAACAATTATAACTTATTTCTTATAAAAAAAGTAAAAGTAATACTAAAATAAATAAATAATTAATTTAGTTTCTTAAGTATAATGCTCTCCTTTATTTAATTCTTAAAATAATAAAATTACATAAGTAATTTTTCCTGTATTTAATATTTGTTAGTTTAATCTTTAAATCAATATATCTTACTAATATTTAGATATTAATTGAATAAGTTTTTATCACATAAAATATTACGTATTTATTATAATTTTAATATTTGAAAAATGACTTATATAATTCAATTGCAAGCATTAAAGAAATACTAGTATAATGTATATACATATTTATTATATTTAATTAAAATTATATATATATAAAGAAAGGATAGATATACTTACTCTAAGGATAAATATATTTAGACTTATTCATTCAATAACTCGTGTTTTACATCAAATTTTAACAATTTAATTATTGAATTAAAATTTTTTAATGTATAAATCAAATTTATAATTTTTCTTAAAATTTAAAATTATTTGATACTTCATTTCATTAATTTAAATCAATGTATAAAATACCTTTATGATTATCCATTAATTTGAATTAATGAAATAGAATATCAAATAATTTTCAAAATTTTAAAAAATTTGTAAACTTAATTTATTCATTATGCACTTTTAATTCAACAGTTGAATTATTAATTTTTTTTATAAAGTATAAGTTATTGAATAGAGTAAATTTAGGTAGATTTAATCTTAGCATAATGTGCATGCATGTTTATCATACAATATAATTAAGATTCATAATAAACTATATATAAAATTATATTTAAATATATAAATTATATTTTAGATTTTTAATAAATAATTTGTACTGTAATTTTTTTATTTACTGATAATTTTTAAAATATTAATATTTAATTAATAAATAATTATGATAAATAAAAATCAAATTATATAAAAAGTTATAAAAATTCCTACAAATTCTTTCGTTGAAAAAAAAATTCTTAAACGTGCTTGTATAAGATAGAATTTCATGTTTAATATACAAAGGTTGATTTTAAGAATCAAATTAATGGGAGTGACCAAAATAATTGATTATTAAAAAATTAACCATTATTATAATTATTCAACTTTATAATAATTAATTATTTAAAAAATAATCATAAAAATTAATAATATATATTAAGTGGAATCATAAATTTTTTTTTCTTAATTGATTTTTGTTTATCATAACTGGTTTTGACTTTTAAAAATCGGTTATATACCATAACCAAATATTTAACTTGCTATAACTAAAATCAATTTTAATTTTTTTAAAATCTCTTAAAATTATTGAACATGATAAACTTTTATTTCATGTATTTGAAATTTATAATGAATACTTTTTAGTATATAAATAATAAATTGAAAAAATATATAAAATAAATACTTTTATATTATTATAGGAAAATATTTTAATTGTATATTATTTATTTAAAAAATATTAAAATTTAATTTAAAAATAAAAATAAAAATAATAAATTAAAAACATAAGATTTTAAGAAAATTCTCAAAAAGGTTTTTATTGAAGAAAAATATTTAAAATCGTTTTTGTTGAATACTAATATTTAAAAGTGTTATTGTTTGAAATAATTTTTTAATCCATACTTTTATATTAATTAATAAAGATGATACATATTTTTGGTGTACACATTTTATTAATTGTGTTATCCTAAATTTTCAAAACATTATTTTCTCTTTCATACTTTTTATATATATATATTTTATTCTTTTTAATTTACTTCTTTATAGTTTTATTTTTCAAAGATCTCATATCTTTTAAGTAATTATTCAAAACTACTCATAATTTTTAATTATTAATTACTCACTGATATTTAACATAATTAGTTTTATTGTGTATTTTATTTTGATATAAAATACACAAACACACGGAATATCATTTTACTATTTTATATAACAATAATTGCTAAAATATAAAAATTATTATAAAAGTGTATTAATCATAAAATTACCTTCTTCTTTTTTCAAAACCAGTTGTATAAACTGTTATTGAAAATTTAAAATCTGTTGATGTAAATCATAACTAATTATTAAAATTGGTTATCATTAAATTATAATAATTAGTTAATGATTAAATGATTATATGGTTATGATCATGTTATTTAAACTTAATCATGCATGGACTTACAGGACTGTTGACTGTTGAGTGTAGTGTGTGTCATTATGTGTTGTGAATGAACTTCTCATGTGTTTGTATAGCTGGTAGTGCTTTCGTTTTGGGCTTGTATAAAAAGAGAATTGAGAAAACAAGAAATCATAATTAAACATTATTTTACTTGTTAATTCTTTACATTGGTGGGAGGGGGTTTGTCTAGAGTATTAACCAACAAAAATTTGATGGGTTTGGTATCATTGTCAGCGAAAACCAAACGACTTCCACCCTCGTGATTATCAAACCTCCCAAGGGCGGTACAATTCTCTGGTGCGTCAGAATGGCAGAACACAAGATAGTATGCATAAGGTATATCAGGTTGCTCAAAGTGAAACCTGCCATTAAACGTAGGCGAATAATAATGATCTTCTGGACCTCCAATACCCAGACATATCTTGTTAATTTTCTTGGACAAATACATCACCACTTCGTCTGATGAAGCACAAAAAGGCTTTTGACCCTGCGTTACCTTCACTAACAGTGGGCTACCTATAGGTAATATTTCCATAAACATTACACATTAATTAGGGTTTAACACACTACTTCAACACTTAATTATGGGTAACTTTTTGAAAAAATGTCACACAAATTTAACAACCCCAGAACTAATTTAGTATTCTTTTAATGTCAGAAATCAAAATTACAAAAATTAAATATTATCAAAGTTGAATTTAGTTTAAGACACGTTCTTTTTAATTGTGAGATTAAATTTTATTAAAAGTGATCCAGCAGATCAGAAAAAGAAAAAGAAAAGTACATACCACTACCAGTAAAGATGAGGCCAGGACCAATAGTTATTCCATGTACTTTGAATTGCAGAGCCACGCCACGGAATTTTCTGGTATAGTCTTGCAGAAAAGTAACTGGGCATTCATATGCTTGTCCTAGATTGTCGAGTTTGATTCCACCACCGGGTTGATCGTAGGGGACGATGTAGTATGACATACCTGGGAAAACGGCATTGCCTAGTGAGTCTCGCACTTGATCAACCCGAAATCTCGGAGCTGACAAACCAAGTGAGAAGATAATGCTGAGGAAACCAAAGACTACTAGTGCAGCCTTCATGGTTAATTCACTCGATAACTATGCCTCTTCCCTACAC